TTTATTTGGCCGATGTCTTTTTCAAAATTAAGGTCCGCTTTATTTAGAGTGCTTTTGTTGACGGCAAAATGGATTCTTTAGTTCTGCCACATCTTATATCCTTATTTTCTTGTTAGTACTAATAGTAACACAGTTTAATATCATAAACGCAAAATGTTATTGAGCTATTCTGAAAAGTTGGATTTGTGCTTTGTTTTTTATGATTTAAAGTCTTTAAGATAGTTAAAATCCCTTTATAAAATTTGGTTTTTATGATTTTTAATGGATATTTGTAAATACCATTTCTATATTCGCAGGCATTCAAGCGCCACAGCCCAACTGGCCTTCGTTTTGATGTAATCCTCACACTTTTCTTTATTTATCCTCCTTTGTGTTTACATATTCTATAACGTGACTAGTTTTCTATGACTAAATTAAATGTCATTATTCCGATTCGTTTTATATCCTGGAGTACTTTCATTTGCTAAATGCTGCTAGTGTTTTTTTGGCTTTGTTGATGTATCCTCACTATTAAAGCAGTTTGTGCTCTTTTTTAGGGGATTTGACTACTTCATTTAATTGTTCCACAATATATACATATATAAAGGAATCACCAAGTGCTTATTTCTACATATTTCATACTAAGATGAAAGATTGAAATCTCCTTAAGCTGTCCCATATTTCTATAACTAAATATCTATAAATTGTGATCCCTTTATATAGCACATCCTGGGCTTTCTTATCCCCTCATCAATATTCTCGATCTTGCCTTTTATACATTTTTGTTCTTGTATTTTTTACGAATTTTGATGCTATTGTCTTAATTTTTACACCCTACCTAATTCTCTTATTTCCATATTCTCTCCATGTAGCTGCCCAATCAGACAATTGCAATGACACCTAACTCAGTCTCAAACACTCCAGTGGCGCCCGCTCACCACCACCACCACCAACAGCAACAGCACCTTGGCCATTCCAGCGTCCCACTGCCACTGTATCATAGACAAACACAAGGCTCGCATCAGCAGCAGCAAAATCAAGTCGACATGGCGATCCCTGGATGTGCTTATTGGAGTGGGCCAGGAGAATCTGGTGCTTATGGCCCACGTGATACCAAACAGGGCCAACACCAGGTGCGACTTCAAGAGAACGGATTTTTTTAAATTAAAATAGGAAATTTAATAA